ATATAATAACTTAATCCCATTATTATTCCCATTATATTCATATGTTCCAAGTGCATAGAGTAAATAGAGCAGGAGATAGGAATCTTGGAAGAGTTATTAGAATTCTACCTACCACATTATTTCTTTTAAAAGATTTATTTATTTATGCTTACAGAACTAGGGTACAGGCCAGATGTGTGGTTGGTGAGAAGATTCACCAGAGACAGAGTGGGGAGCAGAACAAGCAGATTGACGAAGTACACTGTTGAGGGGAGCAGCAGGCGGGTCAGGAGAGGTCTGCTGTGCCATGTGGGTCAGCTCCCTGGCCAGGGATTGAACTCGTGCTGCAGTGGCTTTGAACAGCTTCATAATGTGGTGCTTTCACCCATTGTGCCAGCAGGGAGAGCCCTACCACATTATTTTTAAAAATCATTATCATACAAAAAATATGTATTTGAAGATTATAAGAATATTATCTATATAGGTGTTCGTTATTTAAGCATATGGCCAATGAATATCAGCAGCTTGTCTTTATGTTAGATTTAAAGCGATAAGCTACACAGTGTATTTTTCTTTCAGTTTTCACAAACAACTTGTAGAGTGACTTTTGTAAAAAATGTAACTTTTAGTTTCCTTGAGTGATTGTTTTATCTCTTGAGAATTTTGTACATAGAAATTAAATAATAATGTGAAGTGTGAAGGTGGTGGGTGTTTTGTTTCTTCAGAAAAGCCTGCCGTGGTTAGAGCTAAACAGGATAGTACCAGATTGGGAGCTTTTGATTCCAAAGGAGAAGGTGATCTTTCTCCCTGCCAACACCATCCTTCCACCAAACCCCAATTCAGTAGCTGCAAGAAATGCAAGAAAATGAAACTACTTCTGTCATTTTTTTTTATAAGTAGAGGTATAACAAAAGAGCAATTAAGCCAAGGAAGTTATAAAAGAAGAGAGTTCATGCTGCTTGAAAAAGATATATATATATATATAAAGTGAAAACATTACAGAGTTAGAAATGTTCTAACTTTGTGTGCACTTAGTTTGACATTTCACTCATTGATGGTAGAATTAATGCAGAAACATTCTTCTAAAGTATGCTCTTTATTTAAGTGTGTTAGGTTATTTCACATGTAAGAGTTGACAGATATGAATTAATAATCAGTTCTAAGCTAGCTATTCATGATGATAATGACCTCATCCAGAATAATTATAACTTATTTTCTTTCTTTCATACATCATCTCTTGCTCATGTATAAATTATATAGAAAGTATACTCAAAATAAGTTACTTCAGTTATCTGTTCAACAAATGCTTCATGAGTGATCCCTGGGTGTCTAACATAGAAGTAGGGGCTTGGTATATATGTACATGAAAGAAACAAAGATCCATTCTTTCATGACACTTATATAAATAACCTCATTCATAGGATGACAAATACCACAGTGAAAAAATAAAGAAAATAAGAAGGGGAGTAATAGCAATTAACAAAAGTATGGAAATAGAGTAAGAGGAGAGAGGGAAAAGAAGTTAGAGAGAGATTGAGGATGAGAATATGAAAGAGTATATAGGTCATTTGGAAAAAAAAAAAAATCCTTTGGCATTCATCCTGACTGTGCTACCCAGAGTATAGCTACAGAGGAGGCTGAGAGATATCCGGTTCTGGCTTTACCTTCTACGTGGTAAAATAAATCAGCAACTGCTATCTGTAGTCTGAAACCTTAGTGCTACTGTTCTAGTTTAAACATTCTCAAATCTCACCCACCATCCACACATGTACTAGTCACTCCTACTTCATGCTATTACAGTGGTCTAGCAAACAAAATTCTGACTTTAGGAAACATAATGCCATGAATGAGAATGAGATCTCCATTCACAGTAGACTAAGATCCAGCTCCCATTTGATTGATTGATTGCTTGATCTCAGAATATCCCTGTTGCATAGCAGTGCTGCTCACTGGCAAACTCTGGCAAACACTGATGCAGTGTCAGCTACAAAGCAATTGTTTTTGTTTTCTAAAGATTTATTTACTTATACATACAGGGTATGGGGTAGTGGGGTACTGGCAGAGGTGCAGCAGATAATAGGATTCACCAGAGACATAATGGGGAACAGAATAGATAGATTGACTGAAATATACTGCTGAAGAGAGCAGCAGGAAACACAGGAGAGGACTGTTTCTTCAACTGGGTCAGCTTCCTGTCTGGGGATCTAACATGTGCCGCAGTGGCTGCAGATGGCTTCATAGAGCTGGGCTTTAACCCACTGTGCCACCAGGGAGGGTCCCTCACAACAATTTTGATAGTGATAGGGCTTGATTTGAAATCTTCCACATACAGACTATGTCAGTCTGGTATAGATTGATTTTTTATGGGTCTGGACTCATTCATCTTCATGGAGGTCTCTTTTCCAGATTCTAGGGAAAATGAGCACTAGGTGTGTTTTCTTCTTTGTATAACATATGAAAAAGAACTCAGATCTCCTTAGGTAGAAATAAAACATACAGGCATAGGACAATTTAAATACATACAGGGGAAACTAAAAATTTTCTTTCAAAGAAAATATGATATAGTTGCATTCAAACTTATACCAGTGTATAGTACCATAAAATAAATAGATTCTGTGTCACTTGATTCAGGTCACTCTACTGAAATTTTTCCCCAAAGCATAGGCTGTTAGTGGCTCTATACTTTTTTAACTCAAAAAGCTGTTATAGAAGGCTAATAAAACAAAGGAAGAAGAATAATGACATTTTTAAATTGATCATTATTTAAATTAAAGTTTGATTTGAGCGAATAAATACTTCTGAAAACCTGTTATAGATTCTTTAATATATTCAGTTTTTGATTTTCCGTAATATCCTCAACCACTCCATGAGGTGGATAGCATTCTCTCTAGTTTTGAAGAGCAGAACTGAGAATCAAAGGTGGTAAGTAGTTTTCCCAAGGTCATAAAGCTGGTGAATGGTAGTAATAGAGTTTGAACTTGTCTAGTAATTTTAAATACCATATTATATATGGTATTTCTACCATATTATGTGATTTCTTCTAAGTAAGCAGTTAGTACTGAAGAAAGTTAAATGGTAACTGAAAGGCAAGTTGGTGCAACAGTAGTATTAAGTAGCCAATACTAAAATTTCAGAAAGAAGATATCTGTTACCATTTCAAATATGAGACCTTTTTATGGAAAAGACCAAAACACTATAATATAAAACATGAAATGTTGCTGTCATTTGTCTCAGGTGAGGTAGTCATTTCAATAACTGAATGCTTGTGTTTTTCTTACCTTCATGTTTTAAAATATTTTCTTGTATCTTCCATTTCTGCATAGAAAACATTCAACAAGTCTGGTGTATTCAGTAGAATGGGCCTGGAGATATCATTACTATAATTATATTCCTTTTCCTTACCAATGATATATTTCCAGCTGAGTGAAAAATATAAACAGTTATTTCATTTAATTAATGTTCACACATATATTGCCTCTTAGTTATTGCTCGTAGCATAACTAATATTTGCAAATTTGGCCTGATTAAAGGCCTTGTAGATATTTAAGATATAATATGTTGTCTTTTGTCATTGTTATTTTTTATTTCTATCATCCTTTAATTTAAAACAGCATATCCAAAGTAGGAAAGTCCATTGGAAACTGTACTGATGTGAAAGCATCTTTTGCTGTTTTTCCCATGGTGATTTAAAAAATCACCCCAATAAACTATAAGGAAATTCCAGCCTTGGTCAAAGAATTTGGGAACTCAACATACTTTTTACAAGTTCTTGAATATTTTTAGCAAGATCATGTATATTAAAGTATCTCACATGTCTTCTAGTGTGAAATCCATATTTCTTTCATCATACAATGTCCCACTCCTTTTGTCATAAAACTCTCTAGAACAAACTGATACTGGCCTTAGGACATGCCTACTCACTGACAGTGATGGGCAGGCTCCCCTCTACATGTGAGTATTAGTCCCATGACTAAGCCATGCTTCTTTATAACACTGCCTAAAAAAGTTGGTAATACAAAATTGAAATATTGTTCTGGCATACCATGATTCCACCCATATCTATAATAAATGTTTTTTGTGAATATTTGAATATAAAATTGTACAGTCTAACTTTAAGACACATGATTTTTAATTAAACTGATCAATTTCTTTACTATATTTGAGCTTTAGTTTGAAGATTGATGTGTTTTTTTAAGAAGCTTCATCTAGAAATTTAAATAAATGATGTTAGCCAAATGAAATTCAGCAGATGTGTGTAAATGGAAGCAAATGGCAGCTCTTCCTTTACATATGCTCACCCTATAATTACATGAGGTTACACTCCATGGAGTTCTTTGCTAGAATGGCCACAAATACATTCCATGCACTGTAACCTCACACTATAATAATTTTAAAAAATGACTCTATTGGTTTTTTATAAAATGTAAAACATGAGTATCAATGATATACAATTCCATAATAGTTATTTAGTTAGATACTTGTTTAAATTATTGAATTAAATCTCTTGTGACAGGTAAAAGTAGGATAAATGGTTAGATTAAGGGTGCAGATTTGATAGTTCTGTAAGGTATTGGATTCATATGACTTATAGTTGATATTTTCCCTTATATAGGCATAACAGGTTGTAATTTCCGAATAAAATACAAAAGCAAAATAAATGTGAATGAATTAATGAATGACTAATGCATCTGTCAATATTTTTTACTCCTGTGAAGGAATGAGAGGATGATAAAGTGTGCTTTGAGACTAACTTCAGATTCCCAATTGGCACTTGATTGTTCTGTATAAATATAATATAATACACTAACATAGGTGATTACTTCTTGTATATGGTGGCATTTTACATTTTAATTAATATTTTTCTACATTAAGATGTTTTAGTCATACAAATCCCATTTAGATCAATGATAATCATTTATGTGTAGGCAAGGAGACAATGTTCTTTGCTCTCAAATCAAAATGTACCGTTTACCATCCATTCTGATTCTACATAATGGTCTCTATTCTGCCATCCTTTGCAGCCAGCTGTTGCAAACCCTGATATTATGTTTATAAAAATTCACATTCCATGGGACACATTGTGCAAGTATGCAGAGAGGCTGAATATCAGGATGCCATTCAGGTACTTTCAATTTTTATTTTATTCTATCTCAAGGTGTAACTCTTTTTGGAAGAAATGCTGCTCCTTCCAAAGTTTAGGGTATCTTGAAAAGTTTTATTCCCCCTTCTGATTTGCTTGTTTAATGTGGAAAACCATCTTATTCCCTCGAAACTAGATCATTTCAAGGTGGGCTTTTCTAGAGAGAAAGAAGAAGAGTTACAGTCAAACTTTTAACTTTTAATTCTTCAAATCAGTCTCACTTTTGTTTCCATCTGAATAGATAGAGCTCATGTTGTTTTGTGAAATACATGAAGTAAAAGGATATATCACCCACATCTATACAAATACAGTGTATACAAATCTTAACCCTATGTATATGAATCTTACTGACAGAATTAGATATGTAAATTGATTCACATTTATGCTTGGATAAGGGTTTAAAAGTTCTTTAAAAATTATATTTATGAGGGTCCTCTCTGGTGGTGCAACGGGTTAAAGCTCAGCACTACTAATGTAGCCACAACCTCTTCAGCATGAGTTCTATCCCCAGCCAGGGAGGTGAAATTTTAATAGTCTCCACCATTTCCAGATAATAAATGAAAAATGTACAAAATCATTTAGTGAAGTATTATTTATAAATTTGTAAAACAGAAATATTACCTTTGTCCAATATTAATCATTTTTTTAAAATTTACTGATAAGCTTGCATTTGAAGGAATAGTTCTGGTACATTCAATGTAATATGAAAACCATGTTTATACCATTTTTTTTTCTTGTTGATGTTTTAGCTGAAAACTTCTTCTTTAAGTTTTTGAAGATGTTTACCACTGCTGTATTACTGAAACTTTTGGAAACTGAAGTTAAAAGTTGGTTATTTGTTAATGTAAATATTAGACAATGTGCAACATTTTGTAAATTTTGTGAAAGAGATACTAGTTCCATAGGTTACTAAAAGAAAAAGTTCCCATGATCAAAGCTGTTTCTGAATTTCTAAGTTAAAAGGTATTTCCTTTTTTTTTTGAGAAGCGTTTCTCATTTTTAGTCTTTAGAGTGCAGAAGGGAAACCATGAAAATGAGACTTCCAGAAAGCTACACCTAGAAATTCTGACATTAAGTTTGGGATATAATTGGGTATAAACCTTTTAAACTAAACATTCCAAATTATTCTGATGCAGACGGTAAAGAAATATTGTCTAGGAAACGTGAATATTTTAATAATTCTCATAATTTTTTATAAATTTCAGGAGATAGTTGTACAGAGTGGCCTTTTCCTAATTTCCATTGCATGATGGAAATTTTTTTAAAAATCTTAATATGATGGTGTTCTGGGGAAAACAATTTGAGAAATTCTGGAACACAGAGTTCTGTTGGAGCATCTTTCCAGGTCAGTTTGAATAATAGATGTAGCATTAGCCTACTCCTTAGTAACTAACTTCTCATTTATTTATAAGTACTCCTGAAATTTGGAATAATAGCTCATAAGAAAAGAATTCTATTTAAGCATCAAGTAGCGAAAATTTTCATGGTGGCTATTCCGTCCCCCAATTATCAACATAAATAACATAAATAATGAACTAAAATTAAAATATAAAGAAATGACAAAGAACTCAAATAGAAAAATAACCCATATTTCAATTTAGGGCAAAGTTTTTGAACATTTATATTAACTTTTTTTATAAAAAAGTACTCGTGCTAGACTATTGCATTCACGTATTCAATATTGAAACCAACATATTGCACTCCACAGAGAAACTGCAAATCTATTCCAGAAAAAGTATTAATGATAGCCTTTCTTCCAAGTTTTCTGCAAAGTTAGGTGTGAATATAAAATTCATATTTTATCTAAATTTTATACTTGACTATATATGTACCATTTTATATACCAAAGTTGTCCAGCTATGGGCTGACTCCACAGTTTTAGTTTTGTCCTATTGGGAAGGAATGTTTTCTAACCTCCAGAAATAGCAAATCACTGATCATTTTTCTTTGGATTCAGATGTGATTCTTGTTTATTTTTACCCCATCTGTTACCTTAAAAGGATCAAACCTATTTAAGATAATTTCGCCATCCACTAGCCTATCACATTGTGTTCCTAGATGGAGTTACCCCCACTATTTACCACAAACTCCTCCTCTCACAGATATCTTAATCATAGCCAAATTGGAGTGGAGGGTGTTTTAAAAACATTAAGAACAATCTATTTTTGACTGCTATAGGGATTAAACTGAGATCACATTTTTATGCAAATGAAGTCTCACTCAAACATGAAAGAGCGTAAAAGCCACCAGGGAGAACAGTATGTAAAAGAGAAGGAAGTGTAGTAGCTCTGCTTGACTGGGAGCGGAGACCCAGAGTCCCACCCCTGCCACTGGCCCCCTCTCCTGGCTCTGTGTCTCCACATGTGGCCAGTTGCTATGCAAAGCACTGATTAGAAACTGATTGAGGAAATTATTCCTTACAATTTTCATCTGTTCTTATTCTGCTAGGTAGATAAACGCTTTTATTATGCAAGATATAACTTATCAAAATTTTCCAATGAAAACATAAGGGAAAAATAAAGCTCTGTACATCAATGGTATACAATTAATAAACTACAGCATGCTAGGTAATAGATGGAAAAGTGAGTTGGTCATCCAGGTTCATTTCTGCAGAACTAAGGAAACTTGCAGTTTATCATTGACTTCATGGATTAAAGGTACAATGTATAAAATTGGGAAAATATAATTAAAGGTAAACAACCCATGAAGCTCCATAACACTGGGAATATACAACTTTTGTTGCTGAGTAAGCATCAAGCCAGAATGCTATGTGAATCAGAGGCAATTTGCTAAAAGATTGCAAGGAAGGAAAGAAAACGAACTCGGTTTATAGCCAATCAGATATATTTCACTGCAGATAATATCTGTTTCAAGATAAGCAATAACTAGATTTGGAATAAACTAGAGCATATGGAAGTTGGAGTACTGAAATTCTCAGTACGATTGAATGTCGTTGTTCACTGGTTTTAGTATTTTCATGTGCCTTTCCTCAGCTCATTTCTGTTATTTTCCAGGAAAAAAAGCTATTACACTGACCGGAGGAGCAAATCAATGGGCAGGTTGGTGGGTGATGTGTAATTTGTTGATGACCAATTTGTCATTTGAGAAAAACAAAAGTAAAACTTTCCATTACCCACATCAGCAGTTGTAAACTTTAGAAAGATAAATTGCATTGATTTGTGAAGAGATTTCCAAAATGACTAAAGTCACATGGAATGGTGTTTATAAAATCAGGTCTAATTTTTCTGCATGCTGTTGCCTGCCAGTCCTGCAACCTCCTTTCACAGTGCTGTGGGTGGTAGAATTTCATCACCAGTTAGTATCTTACAAGGTTTAATTGTAAAAGAAGATACAGCAGTAAGATGTATATATATATGAATGATGGCCTTCTAGAATAGCATAAGAAACCCAGCCAGAGACCTTCCCACTCATTCAACCCCTATCTCTTATTTAGCAAATAGGATAGAGAAAAAGACTAGCACACAGCATAGAAGGGGTTACAGGCCATAATATGGCATCTTTTGAATCACAAACATATTCTTTACCCACCATCTGAAACTGCCTCCTTTATTCTAATATTGAAAGCAAGCTTCTTTTGAAACAATGTCCTATTTATTATGGTGGTAACAGGAGCTGTGACAAAGGAATTAATCAAACCCAGGTCCTGAGACATAAGAACATTCCACCTGAATCTTCTTGGCCCTGTTTCACCTGAACAAATGAGCTTCCATTAATGAAACTTCAAAGAGACTTCCAACTCTTCCCTGTTTTTCTTCTTATTACAAAGAACAGATAAACACAAACAAAATGTGAATGTCGTAGAGTATTTCCTGTTGAATAATGCTGCTGGATATTACAAGTCAGGATGAAACACAAAGTTGGAAGACTCGGCCCTCCCTGGTGGCTGAATCCTCTCACTGCCCCTGAACCTCTCGCCTGTACCCCAGTTCTCTGTGCATAAATAAATAAATTTTTTTAAAAAAGTTAGAAGATTCAAGCAGTATAAATACTAGACTATTTTAAGAAAGGATTCAATAAATCTAACCTTACCAGTGTAAAGGACTGCATATGATTTTAAAGTTTAGGAGAATAGGAGAATGTTCTCCTTCAAATATTAAATTTAGGTGTGGTAGAAAGAGTGACAAAAACAGGCCCTCCCTGGTGGCGCAGCAGGTTGAAGCACAGCACTAAGAAAGAGTGACAAAAACCAACATTGGACAAACTAGAGGTCAAAGTAAATATGAAAAGAATTAGTACTCAGATGGCTCTTCAAAAAAGTTATTAAAGATGCTCCTCAGCCAAGTCTGTTAGGTTAATATGCTGTGGTTTAGCTAGAGCTTTCATCATTTTCCTTGTGCTTTTTGGTCCTGGTCTATGTAGGAAATTTCTTATTTTTTTTTATAATAAAGTCAGTTATTGAAATATTATACAAATTTACAACTGCAGGTTTTTCTTGTTTTTTCTTCTTCTGCATGTGCCTGCTTAATGTTAGATGTGTTGATAAATATCTTTAAGTTGGCTTCAGCATGCTACTATAGAATTAGTGACATTTTGTTACTCTAGTGAGGTTTCTGATAAACAAGCATCTTTATTTTAGAGACCTAAAGAGGATGAAATAATGTATATTAAAATAACAACAAATGTCTTTATGAAATTTTATAATTTAATTTTAAAAAATATTGTATTTAGATTGCATGGTAGACATGTATAATAAATCCCAAACAAGTTTGTAAAGTAGAAAAAATTATATTTCATCAGTAGTAAAATGTGAACAAGAAAAATGAACACTATATTATATATCATAGTGTTTTATTATTATGTATTACTTTTGTATTATTATTTTCTGTTTAATTTCATGAAATGAAAATCAAGTTATCATTATAAATAATAGTTTAGTTAAGTATTAAAGTACCTTAAACTTGGCTATAGTCTATCCCTTTACAATTTAAGATTACAAGTAATTCTTGTTGTATTTTGCTTTTGTGGATGCATATGGGGAGGGTAGTGAATAAGAAAGAACTTTTAAAAAGTATATGACATATTAAACTGAAAATATAATATCCTGTTATTTGCCTGACTTTAGATTTTCAATTAGGAAATTACCAATTTTGATATTTTTTGAACCTTACCTTTGTAAATAAAATGAATATTTTGTATATGTGTATGAATATCATTGTTATAAAATTATAAAACCCAATTTGAGAAACATTAGGACAGCAATAATCTAATATGTGAAATTAAGTTTCCCTTGTGTTTTTTCTTCTTTGAAGTGGAAATATATTGATATATTGTATGTTGATTATTTTGAGAGTAAACATTCAGAGATAAGTAATATTCTGTTAATTTTTCAGCTTTTGAAGGTCATCATTTCTCCAGGCAGGTGGACAGGAAATGGTTATTATTCTATTTCAGCAGTTTATCATTTGTTTACAAAGAACTTTCACATTCAATTATCAAAGCATCCTCAAAAGGACCTTGCAGTAAGGCAGAGCAGAGTAGCTGGTTTTGTAGATCAAGGGAAATAAGTTACTCACTATCACCATCCCCCACCTCACCCCCCACCTCATCCCAAAATTTCATAACTGGGTTTGGTAGACTTTATGCTTGACCAAGTAACTTTGACTCTTTGACCCAGATATCTTCAAGTGCCACAGGATTATTGGTTTCCACTGATTTTAGCAAAGAAACTTAAATTTCTGTTCAGAAATCTTCACGACCCACCACAAAATCTTGAATTTACATAATGGCCAACATAATAAAGATTTGGTAAAGCATAGATGAAGCATTCACATGTGTTGGTGGATTACTTATGTTCAGTATGTATTTTGGGATTCAGATCCAGGTCTGACAACATTACACCCTCAGACATCATTTTCTCCTGCATAGGGGGGTGTATGTGAGAAGGCTAAACTGATAAATTTCTGTAAAAAGTTACATCTAAAGGTCCTATAAAAGGACAGTTTGATAACCCTCCTCATTTCTTTAATGTTTCTTAAATTCATTTCTACTTCTAGCATGTCTATAACTTGTCATAGATAATAGACCCTTATATACTATCATCCAGCATTTTTGAAATGCTATGCTATCAGAATGCTTCCTTTTATTTAATCTCTTGTCCATCTAAAGAAATCACACAGATGGAATTACTTCCTCTCTTTAGATATGAGGAAACTGAAGATCATTGGTTGGAATTCTTGACCCCATTCCCATGAGTACAAATTCATTACTAGGATGCTCATTTTCCAAGTCTTCCCCACTGTTTCCTTCAGTAGACTAAGTTGATAAGTTATAGCCCATGTGATGTTTTCTGCATTCCATTATCCAGTTGATGGGGTACAGTAACATTTTGTAATTTCGAGGCTTTCTTCAAGCAAAATGAACACCTGAAATACTATTCATTGATTGCTGTAGACTAGAAGGAAATAATTGACTCCTTCCATACCAACAGCTACTTGACCTCTAAATGATAACCTTGGCAAAAGAAAGATTTAAACATGATAATCTTTACACTATGACTTGATCAAACTAAACATAGTAATTCTAACATAGTAATGAAATAATTCTTAAGGTACATTATATTGCTATCTATACATAACTAAAATTTTTAAAGTTTAGGCAAAATTAGCCAAATGTTAAGATGAATTGTACTTGTCTAATAAAATATCCTATCCTGATACTTTTAACTACTCTTACCAAAAAATTGCTTATAACAAAATTCAGAATGTGTAAATATTGTATATTTATTTTTAGCAGACACAGCTGTTAAAATAGGAACTCAGAATTTAAGTTTGCAAATTCAATCTTGAATCAATCTTTCGTTTGCTTTCTTATTCTTAAAAAAAAAAAAAAAATGATTCCAGCCCACACAAACACCACAGTGGCTCAAGGTTATGGGATTATGACTGTAATATGAGGCCAGACTGTTCTTTTGTGACATGTCCTAAAAACCTAAAACAGTGTCTTAATGTTTTATCTTTGCTCTCATACTAACCCATCTCTCAAAAGTTCTGTCAGTGCACAAATACATGAACTTCCCTTCAGAGCTAGTAGATAAAGCAGAATCTAGTCCCCACCTAAGATCTATCACATCAATAGCTACATTTTGAAAAAGCTTTCAGATGAGTAGTATGCTCACTGAAACTTTAATTAAAAGTGCTGCAAACGATCTTCCCTGAACTTTCCCTAAAACTAATGTTCAACTCTTAACTATTCAATAAGACCATTGTTATTTTTTTATGAGTGATGATACTGAGGCAAGAAGTTAAGAATTATACAAATTCACAGAGCTACTGCAATGCAGCATTAAAGCCCAATTTTGTCTGATTACAACACAGTTGCTGTTTCCCTCATACCAGCAGCTCCCAGTGCTTCTGAGGAAGTGCATTGTAGCTATTCTTTTTTTTCTCTTTGGGAGATCCACATCACTAAGAATTTTTTAAGGGTCAGGAAGCAATGTATAATTACGTAACTATGAATAAAAGCATATACCCAGTATATATGTATATGTGTGTATGCATATGTGTGTATATATGTATGTATACATATGTGTATATGTATTTGTGTGAATATACACACATATCTGGTATATCTATATGCATAGATATAGGTATATGTATATATAAATATAGATAGATACATACACACAAAATGTTGATATATCATGTTGCTTTATTTTTAAATTTTTTCTCTACCATCTTCATTATGTATGAAAATTCCATAATAAATCCGTAAGCAGTTTCTCATAGGGATAGGCCAGTTGTCCTGAAAGAGTTGCAACAAAAGCATGATTGGGATAGTTTGGGGATTCATTTCTTTTGTGTGACAATAGGAGGAATGTGTTGGCTCAGGTGTGTATGTGCATGTTTTTGGTGTTTTGGGATTCTTTTGAATTCTTTTTTTGAATTTATTTTATTTTATAACAGTTTATTCTTTTTTTGAATTTTAATGGAATGAGTCTCGACTTAAGATTGCAGACAAATCCAATTCTATACTATGATTTTTTTCCAGGGTGCAGAGCTACTTTAGAAGAATAAAAAAATGGATGTCCCAGAACCCAATGGTTCTTGACAAATCAGCCTTTCCAGACCTGGAGGAGTCAGACTGTTACACTGGTCCCTTCAGCCGTGCACGGATTCACCAGTGAGTTAATTCCCAGCTCTCTTTCCATACCACTTGCCTTAGTATATTTTTTACATTTGAAAGTTGTTAGTAGAACAAAACTATCTGAGGTCAGTTCCACTGTTTGTCAAATATCAGAATAAGGATTGTTCTATTAAAATGTACACTTAATTTAGAAACAATATTCAGTGTGTTATTAATTATTAATAACTATGATTTGGAGGTACACAAATAATAATTACTTAATTATAAGCTCACAGACTGATAGTCTAGTTAGCTCCCATTTCAAAATAATTACTGTAGTAATGTCACCCACTTCAAATGACAATACTGGTCATACTAATAACAATAGTAGAATTACTATAAGTAGCTTGTTTGGGTAGTGGATTGTTCCAATTAATGTTATTGTACTTATAATTAAAACTAATATATACCTATTAAACTATCCATTTTAGTTTTATCTTACAAAACTAAAGTAAAAGTGAAAGTTGGGGTGTTTGTTATATAACTACATATCCATCTACCTATCATCCTGAATCTGTGTATCTCTATTCACGTATTCATTTAATTAGTACTTGTTGAGTTTCTTTATGATACAGGTTAAGAATACTTACTTTCAGTACCAACTTTCATGGCACTCCCAGTCTAGTGGGGAGACAAAAACTAAATAAATAAAATAGTGTAAAGATAAAGATAGAGAAGTGAACAATGTATTCTAGGGCTGTAATTTTATGCATTACTTTGCTGTGCTTTATTCTGGGTTAACCTGTTTTTCTGGGATGTGAGTTGAGAGACAGAATTAAGTAAAGTTCCAGATCGCCAAACATGTCACTGAGTCAATAGTTGATGGGAAAAACTCCTCTTACAAATATTCAACTTATTTTATTATTTGTTCTCAGAGATGAATCTAGAAATGTCCTTTCAAATTGTTTGAAAAGATGAGAAATTCAGATCTTGAAAAAAATCTTCCAGGTTTAGAGAGAGGCCACAATTTTGTGGAAGAATCTCTAACATTCTACTAGATTTTTTCAGGCCCTTAACAGTGACACACCAAATTAAAATAATAATAATAATAATAATAATAATAAAAGCGCTCTTTCCTTTTGAACCCATCATACAACTGCCTTATTTAAACGCCCCTAGTTGCCTCCCATTTGCTCTTAGAATATCATTCAGGTTTCTTATCTCCCATGTGATTATGACTATATACACAGTGGTCACTACCCAACCCTATTACCTCATTTACAGTTTCCTCAACTTATTCCAAACATGTACTTATTTCTTAAGGAATATCATCTTCAGTTCTGTCCATCAGACCTCAGATCAGTTTCATCCCAAAGTTTTTGTTCTTGCTTTTCTCTTCACCTAGCACGTTCTTTCCCAGATCTTCACACAGCATATTCCTTCTTATCATTCTACTCCACTCATGTATCATCATCTCAGAGAGACCTTGTATAAATCTACAGTCCTTCGTGCTGGTCATTCTCTGTATCATTATGGTCTTTCCTTTAACTTCATAACAGGTCACTGAAATTATATAATTTATTTGTTTACTTATATATCCTCTCCTTAGTATTCACTCCTTAATTTAGCTGTATAGAAAAGATACTTGTCTGCTAGAGAAATATTTGATCAGGGAATATTGACTCATCTGATGGTAAAAAAGTTAAACAGATGTTCTTTCTGATACCTTTCATTAACTAGGGAGAGTTGTTAACTTGGTGCATCCAAGTACAAAAATAAAAAGTAAATTTCCACAATACTAGAGGAAACCAAAATCTAATAGAATGGTCAGTAATACAGATTATCATTAAAACACAGTAGAAATGTGGGCTTTCGAGGTAATGATAATTCCATTTCAGATTGACAAACATCAGATATAAGTCATAACTACAAGATATGAGACTGAGGCAGAGGGTGAAAAGCTCAAGGACCTGAAAGAAAATTAATAAATTGAATTAGGCATCTAATGAAGAGTTGTAAAACTCAGAACTGTACTTCAAAAGTCAGGTAGAAAATTGAATAGCCAGTTAAGAAGACACTGTCAAATCCAAGCAAGAGCCAGTGAGATCCAGAATAAGAGGTATAGTGCAAAGCTGGAGAGAAAAGCAGTTAGAAAAGTTACGCAGGTTGGAAATGTTTAATATGAGTGGTGAAGAGAAAGGAGAGAGATTATAAAAGACCAGATGTTTAAGGGTTAAGTGCCTGACATGATGGTGGCCTATCATTCATAGATAAAAATTAGTAAAATCATCAAGCAGGAATTTCTTAAAAGTTGAATGAGGCCTAAGACACTCATTGATGAAATTCTGAAAACATGATACATTAACATGGAAATTGTGGCTTTGAAAAAATGGCATCAATTTTTAATCTTCTTTACTTGAACTGCATTGCTGAAGGTAGTACAAAATTTATGGGCTCCAGCAGTCAAGCTATCCTTTTCTTGTGCCATACTAAGCAAGAAATATGATGATACCCAGAGTTCCTTATACTCTAAACGATGTTAAAATGGATATTTGATAATGCCTTTTATTATTTATGAGTGTATTTTTTCTTTGCCTATATATATATATATATAAGAGAATGGTTTCTTTTCTGATTTACTCTATGTCACATGCAATCATTTTAATGAAGAAAACAATGAATGATTACCCAGGAACTTGTAGTAGTTGCAGAATTCTGTGCTCTATTTTGAATATTAAAATCAATACTCTCATCTCAACAGCTTCATAATAAACAATAAGGACACCTTCTTCAGCAATGCCACTCGAAGCAGGATAGTCTACCACATGCTGCAGCGCACCAAGTATGAGAATGGGATATCCAAAGTGGGTAAGAGCACTTATTGTAGCCTGGGAAAGAGAATTCACTGAGGCTGGCTACCCCCACAAATACTTTAGTATCATGTACATGTAGTATTAACTGTAGTATCACGTAAGAAAGATAAACCTTTTCAAGACAGCTGTTTAGTGAAGAGTTGCATTCAGATCTCGGTTCTCCATTGGTTAGTAATTCACTTAACTGAACTGCCAAAATAGCCAATTTAAATACTGAAATCTAGCCCCCCAAAAATGGCATATAATAGTGTTCTAAATAGAAATTAAAGAAAGCCCACAATGTGTCTAAATAATAAAATTATATTCCTATGTACTTTCTAAAAGTAAATATGACAATTTAAGTTATTGGTTAATATCATACACTTTATAAAACATGCAATAAACTCAGAAAATTATAAAAAATAATTTCCTCAATATAGGCATATGTGTGTATAAATGTATATCAATATGTATAGATAGATAGATTTTAAATTGATGCAGTATTTACAGGTTTCTATTCTGTTTTTTTAAATTACCTTTACAATTTTGTTTGAAGATACTACCATAAATAACTGTATAATATTCTGTTACAATCATTTATCAAATCACATTTTTACCACATACCTACTGTAGTTGATCATGCCATAATAATTAAATGGTTCCCCAATAATTTCTAATTCCTTTCTAATGTAATTACTATTCAAACAAAAGATTTTCTCAGCATTTATCCCTTATGAGGTGAGCATGTCTACTTCATTATACTCTCAGTGAAATGGAGGAAATTTAAGTGTCACTTAAAATTTATGGCTTTTCGTCTCTTTGACTCAATATTGGATATTAAGGACTTCTCAGTACCAAATTCTTTTGTGTTATTTTTTAAGATGTGGAATTTCTCTATAACTGGACCAAAGTTTGTTGTTGAGGGGAGGGAATAAAAGTTTTGTGTGATACCAAATAAGTGGTTACTAAAATGCCCTCTCAAGTATATGCATGCTGCTTCAGAGGGAAGTTTTCATTTAATCTGATTCAAGAACTGTTTGTTTTTTTTCCCTTCTCTTTCCAGGTATCTGTAAACTTATAAACAATGGGTCATATATTGCAGCTTTTCCCCCACATGAGGTAACTTTGATATGCAATTTCCATTAAAAAAACAAACAAAACTCTCATCCTCAATGTTTGTTCCTGTTTTGTTTGTTTGTTTCTTATTTAAATTTGTCCTCTCCCAGTGGGGTTTAGTCGGAAATTGATCCTGGACCTTTCAGTAAACCCCATTATAATCTTACATCTGTGCACTGGCTCATATACTCCATAAATATTTGGCATTTTGCCGGCTGTCTCAGTAGAGGAAACTCACAGACATTGCCCCTCACTCTGGCCAAGGCCCTCTGCTCCAGAAGAGGCTCCATGCTTGGCCCAGCTGGAGAGCCCTGCCACACCTAACAGGACACATTCCTGGCTTATACCCACCACTTTAAGATGCCTGAAAATCTGAAAACAACAACAAAAATCTATAATCTATGTTTCTGAAATTGCAGCCCATATGACAGATCTTTACCTAAGGTAAGTTTTAAGGCTTCTAGGATTAAAAAATAAAAACATGAGTGTGTTTGGTGACTTCAACCTCTTACACTTTTTGAATGAGCACTTACTCTCCTTACTTTGTTAACCTTCAGTAGTGGTAAAGAGCTTTGCTGGTAAGTTTTTAGTTTTAAGAATTTATTTTTTTTAAAGATTTATTTATTTACTTATTTATGTTTACAGAACTGAGATATAGGCAGGAGGTGTGGTGGGTGCGAGGATTCACCAGAGACAGAGAGGGGAGCAGAACAGGCAGATTGACAAAGTACGCAGCTGAGGGGAGCAGCAGGTGGGCCAGGAGAGGTCTGATTCATCATGTGGGTCGCTCCCTGGCAGGGGATCAAACTCGTGCTGCGGTAGCTTTAGAAATCTTCATAATGTGGTGCTTTAACCCATTGCAACACAAGAGTGACCCCACTTTTAAGAATTTTTTTAAGAAAAAAGCTTCAAAATTAGATTTTAAGATCTCACTGATGTTAAAGAAAGGATTTTTAAAGAACTATCCAAATAGTCTCATTTAAGATATATATATATATTATATAAAGATAGATATATATAAAAGATATATATTTATAGTAAGATATATATAATTAAGATAAATATATGTATATAAATTAAGCCTGTTGCCAGAATGATACAGTAGATATTTTATTATTAGATAAAATAGATATAATATCTATAATAAATATAATATCTATTATATCATTCTGGTGACAGGTTTAATTTAAGTTCAGTTTCTGAAGCTTTCAATAGTTGCTAAATCATAAGAAAAATAAACAAAGCCATTCCTATTCATTTCACATTTCACTAAAAGAATAGATATCAATTTATTGTACTTTTTCTGTTTCAGGGAGCCTACAAAAGTAACCAGCCCATCAAAACCCATGGACCTCAGAATAACAGACACCTGCTATATGAGCGCTGGGCTCGTTGGGGGATGTGGTATAAGCACCAGCCACTGGACTTGATCAGGTATTATACACACATAGTTCTATCATGGAAGACGTGTTGCCATGATAGAAATTTAATTTCTTAGAAATGAAATTATTTCATTTACCAAATCATCTGTATCAATCAGATAATAGCTAGAATAAATGAAGGAACTATTGGTCATTTCAATGAAAGGGACCTAATTTAGGGAATTGTATACACTGGATATGGCAAAGCTAAGAGATCTAAGAAGAGTATGGTAACATACATTTGAAGAATGTGAACCTATACTCCCAAGACAAGGATAGTGCTGTAAATAAAAGTTATTTCAATAAAATAAATAATTAAAATTAAAATAAGTAACAAGCAGTAGCGGGCAGTGGGTGCTCAAGACAACCTTCAGAATGGAGAGGAGGGGAAAAAATGCTAGTTTTTCCCTTTTGCCTGTGAGTCTTCTGTAACTAGTGATCCAGATTAACCATGATCAGTTTACAAGGGAATCTGCTTAATCTAATCCCCTTTGAAAGTAAATAAAAACATTAAAAGGCAAGGAATGAATGTAAGAGCAAAGAGAAAAAAATTAACCCAAATAACATCTACACATAGATTCATCTTTTAATGAAGATCTAGTGACTATGTATATTCTAATGAGTAACTGTCATCAATTTAAATTGGTCTTAAAATAACAGAAACTTACTTAAAAAAAAAAAAACTAAGTCCCTAGCTATAAATATTATCATAATGAATGAAAATAGAATACTCGGGATTAATTAACAAGTAGTGATATTAAATGCCACAGGTGGGACTGGCCAGGAACTGAGCTGGTAACCTCATGTCCATCTGAAATTCTTAGTACGTATGATATCAATATGTAGAGTGTTGATTATATTGCCTTCAGTTAAGGATTTTTTTTTTCTCATGCAGACTATACTTTGGTGAGAAGATTGGACTGTACTTTGCTTGGTTGGGGTGGTACACTGGCATGTTGATTCCTGCAGCAATTGTTGGCTTATGTGTTTTCTTCTATGGAATATTAACAATGAATGCAAGTCAAGTAAGGTAAGCTATTAAGAGTAATTTCAAAACAGTGACCTTCTGATATGATAATGCTCACCCAAAAGAGGTGATGGAACAATAGTTTACTTGCTTTTGCATTTTTATTTTGGGAGGGGAGAAGTACTGTAAAAAGGTCATGTCCACATTTTATATGCAAATTATCTTGGATAACTTCCAAGGCTATTTCTAATTAAGCCAATTTTTTTCTTTCACTATATCCCAAACATTAATTTAACAGCACAATAAACATTTTTATATAATATATATTTGCATAGCTTTTAGTAGTCTAGAATGCCATCTCAACATTATAGTTCAAATACTATAGCAACTACATTTTGATACATGTTTCCCTTATATACATTATACAGAGATTGTTTCCTACGTTACAACTTTCACTGTCACCCCTGGAAATGAGTATTCTTTTTTTCCTGATGACAGGAAAGGTGGTAAAAGGTGTCTAAACAAAATACTCATGTCCATCAATGTTGCCCTTAGCAATCTCCTCATCTCTCCTGAATACATAAAGAACATAAAATCACTTTCTCCTTTTCTCTTACTATCTGTAGGAACAGATGCTTATTTTGTAAGCAATGACTTAAGATGTCAAGTTGGTAGTGAAATATAATTTGACAGAAACCAAACATTTATTACAATGGTAAATCTTCTGTTAAAGTTAAAATGACTCAAGATTTGGATAGGAAACACACATTATTATTCAGTAGAGACAAGAGTTACTCTGGCATTAAATAATCTTCTTAATAGCATGGTACTTAATGTATCACAAATATGTCACCAAGTTAATTCTATTATGATAAAACTCAAATTTGAAGACATACTTATTCCTTGCTTCTCTGCTCAGCAACTTTTTTCTCCTTTGGCCCATGTTTTAATCAGGGTTTGACTGTTGGGTAATAATTACAACAGTGACTGAGATCATAAAAAATCATTTTCTTGAATTTTCATTAAGGAAATACTATTAATATGCATGTGTGTATGTATAATAATGCTGTGTAAAAACAAAATACTTTCATTGTCCTGGAATCGAATCCTATTTTATAACTAACTCCTTGATTTGGTATCTCAAAGTCTTCTTGTTCTTCATGAAAGCTAAGTGATAGCCAGCATGAAAACAAAGAAATGCCTACTGTTCAAAAGTATTTCACCAAGTCGCAGGTTAATTTTGGAGTTTTCCAAATTCATTACCATGATAGAAGACACATCTTTCTGGACAAATTTCTGCCCATTGGAAACATCCATCCCCTTTTAGGCATTTGTATGTTGATGAGTCAGTGGCTCCCGAGACTAAGAAGAGAGGTTGCAATTTGGAGTTACAGTGTTATGAAAAGAAAAACACCTTTTTTTCACTACTGTCTACTCTGAGTTTGGCTATTTTTCTTTAATAGCATGTGATGACAGAAACCAAACATTTATTACTGAGGTAACTCTTGTTAAAGTTAAAATAACTCAAGATTTGGATATAGGAAACACACAATAATATTCAATAGAGACAAGAGTTACTCTGACATTAAATAGTCCTCTTAACAGCATGTTCTTTCTTGCCTGGTTTATCTCATTAAGCATAGATACATTCAAACATCATCTTGTCACAAATGTCAGGATTTCTTTCTTATGACTGACTAATATTCCATTGTGCATAGTATTATAAATATATGTATATATGTCACATCCTTTTATCCATTCACCTGCTGGTGAACTTTTAAGTTGTTCACTTATCTTGGCTATTGTAAATAAGGCTACTATGAACACACAAGTACAGGTATAGCTTATGTTTTCATTTCCTTTAGGTGTATAACCAGAAGTGGGATTACTGGGTTTTATAATAATTTTGTTTCTGAGCATCTTCCATATGGTTTTCCATAGTGGCCACAGCGATTTAAATTCTAACTGATACTGTACAAGGATTCCCTTTTCTCATATCCAGCACTTACTTTTTTTCTTTTTGGTGATAACCATTTTAATAAGCATGAGGTGATATCTCATTGTGAATTTGATGTGTACTTCCCTAGTGGTTGATGATAATGAACATCTTCTCATGTACTTGTTGATTTGTATATTCTTCGAAGATATTTCTGGAGTAGTTTCTTTCTTCTATGTTACCAATTAAATTGACCCTTGGGTGTTCATTAGGTAGTAATGTTATCAGTATCCTTAAAAGGAGCAGATACATCATTAAGCATAAAGCAAAACATCATCAGCCATCATCATGACCCTTATTGATGTAGTACAGTGGTTCCTAAGGCAGGGGTCATAATCCTAGTTCAGGCTTCACCACACTCTTTATCCTATTCCATTGTGTCTGTTTTTAACTACCAGACTGTTTTGATTACTATAGTTTTGTGATATAACTTTGTGATTTGAATCAGTGTTGTGATGCCCTAGCTTTGTTCTTCTCAAGATAATTTTGACTATTTTGCATCTTGTGTGGTCTTTCACAAATTTTAGGAGTTCTTTTTCTATTTCTGTGAAAATAACACTACAATTTTAATATAGATTGCAGTGAATCTGTAGAGGTCTTTAGGTAGTATGAGCATTTTGGCAATATTAAATCATGCAATACATGGGCACAGAATATCTTTCCATGTCTTTTCATATATATATATATATATATATATATATATATAT